GGGCCTTGCTCTGTCACCCAGGCTGGAGTGCAGTGGCGTGATCTCGGCTCACTGTAACCTCTGCCTCATGGGTTCAAGTGATTCTCCTGCCTCAACCTCCCAAATAGCTGGGATTATAGGTGTGTGCCACCATACCCAGCTAATTTTTATATTTTTAGTAGATACCAGGTTTCACTGTGTTGGCCAGGCTGGTCTTAAACTCCTGATCTCAGGTGATCCACCTGCCTTGGCCTCCCAAAGTGCTTGGATTATAGGCATGAGCCACTGTGCCTGGCCTCTTTAATTTTTTGTTACGGAAAATTTCGAACTCCAAAAAGTAGAATTGAATTTTGCTACATCCGTGTTAGCTGTTTGTTTCACATTACCAAGTCTTAAATGTCAGCCACTAGAAAGTAAGTGCCATAATTTGGGACCTTGTGTGTGTTAGTCACCATTATATTTACAATTCATGAAAATAGTTGTTAAACGATAGGTGGCCCTCAGTAAATATTTGTGGATGGGATGAATGAAGATAATGTTTTTTGCTAATCCAATTCTATTTGGGATCTGCTTGTGGTCTAGCTAAGATTCACTCTTCCACTTGTTTATTAATTCACCCACTTACTCATTCATTCACTGAAACTTTATTGAATGCCTTTTATGGATCAGCAGTGTGAAGCTTTATTGAATGCCTTTTGTGGATCAGCAGTGATAGCTCTGGGATTTATATGTAAATGAACTAAAGGGTAGCAATCCATTGGGAAAGGAATTGGCTAAATGGCATGTCTAGATGTATTTGCATAGTAAGTGCAGTTTTTGGTTTGTTTTTTTTTACCTGACAGATTATTTATTTGGGGTGAAGTGGTCTGATGTGGTTAGTTGAAATGGAATTAACACCTCCTGCCCCAAGTCACACCTTGAATCAGCTGTCATATACAGGCTTCTCATTTAATGCTTTGGATTGTCCCTGTATTAGAGAGAAGGGGGTATGTATAAAAGTCATTATAATGTAAGGGGAAAGAGTAGCAGAGGCATATCCAAAGCATCAATGAGAATAGAAAGGAAGAAACTACTAACTTTTCTCTAGGTCGAGAAGGAAGGGATAGGGTATCCTGGATCTCTTTTTAAGGAAAGTGATATTTGAGCAAGGTGTTAAAAGATGTTGGGAATTCGTGGTACTAGCAGTGTGAGTGTGGACAAGGAGAGTTAGCATAAGTATGTTGAAGGAAGAGGTGGGTTGGGCTGGGGTGCAGGAGCCATGGCGGTGGTGGTGGTGGTGGTGGTGGTGGTGGTGGTGGAGGAGGTGGGCAGCTGAAGGGGAGGGGGTACGTCTTCCTGTAGGGCTCTGCCAGCCCTCTCACAAGCTGCCCTTCTTCTGGGTGGGCTGGCAAGTTGGTGAAGGAGTTCAGCTGGGCAGCAGCGTGATCAGATTTATACTTTAGAGAGATAACTGAGGAGGTGCTGAGGAATGTGGACTGGAGATGGGAGAGGAAGTAGCTGGGAGACTTGCCAGTCCTGGGGCTCCGTGGTTGATGACTAATTGGCCAGGCACCAGGAACTCTAGTAGCTCTTGGAAAGGGGCAGATGGGCCCACCTCATGCACACTCTTTAAGCTGGATCGCCGTTGCCTGGGTTGGCAGCAACATTGACAAAAGAGCCAAGTTTCCTTTCAAAGAAAATTCTTTTGTGTATTTTGGGAATGAAAAAGCCAGGAGTCAGCATTCTACTATCTTCATTAATAGATAGGCAAGAAGATAGAGACAATTTTTAAAAATTAAATTGAGAAGGCCTTGTTAAATAGATTTACATACATATACACATGGGCATAAACATGTATAACTATAAATCACACATACATGTTCATATATACATACACATTCAGTAGATTTATCTTTCTAATTAGTTTTTAAATCAAATTCTAATTTTAGAGTAGTTTTAGATTTATGGAAAAGGTGTGAAGATAATAGAGTTCCCACATACATCACATCTAGCTTCCTCTCTTGTTAACATCTTGCATTAACATGGTACATTTCCTATTATCATTTTTTTTCTGAGATTAGTCTCATTCTGTTGCCCTGGCTGGAGTGCAGTGGCATAATCTCAGCTCATTGCAACCTCTGCCTCCGAATTAAAGCAATTCTCCTGTCTCAGCCTCCCGAGTAGCTGGGTTACAGGCACCCGCCACCACGCCTGGCTAAGTTTTGTATTTTTAGTAGAGATGGGGTTTCACCATGTTGGCCAGGCTGGTCTCGAACTCCTGACCTCAAGTAATCCACCCACCTTGGCCTCCCAAAATGCTGGGATTACAGGTGTGAGCCACTGCACCTGGCCCCTATTATCATTATTGACTAATATCCATGCTTTATTCCAATGTCCTTAGTTTTTATCCAGTGCCCTTTTTCTGTTCCAGGATCCCATCCAGAATACATTTAGTTTTCTCATCTTGTTAGGCTTTAACGGTTTCCCAGACTTTACTTTTGATAACCTTGGCAATTTTGAGTTTTGTAGAATGTCCTTAAATAGGCATTTGTCTGAAGTTTTTCTCATGAGTGGATTGGAGTTGTGGGTTTTTGGGAGGAAGTACGCAGAGGTGAAGTGTTCTCATTACATCACATTAAGTCTCTATTTATCGCTATAGATGTTAACCTTAACCTTAGTCACCTTGGCTGACTTAGGTGTTAGGTTTCTCCACTAGAACGTTCCTGTTTTTTTCCTCTTTCCATACTTGACTCTGGAAAAAGGGTACTCTGTGCTCCTCCCACTTAGAGTAGGGAGTTTCACTCTACCTCCTTGAGGGAGGAATATGTAAAGAAATAATTTAGAATCCTTCCACACAGGAGGTTTATTCTCTCCATCCTAGTTGGATTTCGATAAGATGATTTTTTTGTCTGTCCTCTGAATTCCAAATGTTAATTCTGTAGCACTTGTATTATGTTTGTCATTTGCCACCTAGCGACATCACCTATATTTGTGTGCATGTGTGATAAGTGAACAGATTTATGTCTTATTTACTCAAGGAGATTGTAAATTTCTTGAGGACTGGGAAAGCATCTTATTTAAAGCCCCTTACAGAGTTGGATGCAGTGCAGGCAGTTAATAAATAGTAAGCAAATGGTTTTTAAATTAGTTTAATTAAACATTTAAATATTAACCGTAGTTAATTGAAACAGGTCATCAAAGTCTAAGTATATGAGAAATGTGGTAAGATGAGGATACTGTTTACTTGGCATCCTGATTTGTGAAATTGTCCTGAACTTGTAATTGTGGCTAATAAGATATTTACTATGTGCCAATAACTTCTGTAAGTAATTTACATATATTATTTAATCTTCCAGACAGCCCTATAAGTTGGTACCATTATCCCCATTTTATAGATAAGGAAACTGAGATGAACGAAGGTTTAATAAGTTGTTCAGGATCACAAAAATGGGAAGTAGCTCAACTGGGATTTTGATCTCAAATACTCTGGCTCCAGAGTTTTGAACTCTTAACCACTGGGCTCTAGATTCATTGAAGTGATTAAAATGGTGTCTCTTTGAGGGGAAAGAACAAGATCGTGATTTAAATATTTCATTCGAACCTGTTAGGATACTCCTGATGACACCACAGCAATCTTGCTGTATTTTTCCTAGGGGAAGTATTTACGTAAAGCCACGGCTATTTTTCCTTCGTGTGTGTGTGCGTGTGTGTGCGTTTATGAGTAATTCTTGTGTAGTGCATCTAATTGTATTTCTTTGAAATATAGGCATGTTCATGATTAATATATCATATACAGACTATATTCTAGATATCTCTCACTCTCTAGCCATATGATCTGTTGAAAGATAGTGGGCTTTTTATTTCTTCTCTGGCATTTTTAGACAGAAGTGGTCACTAGGTCTTGTCAAATAAACACTCCCTCAGTGTGTTTCTTGCCGGATTGGTCACACCTGGGGGCCCCAGGAGGGAGCCTAAATTTCAGCAGCAATGCAGGAGAGGGAGGAGGACTTCTTTCGAAGCCACCCAAGCCATGAATCGGTGCTGGCTTCCTGAACCATAAACAAATGCGAGCTTTGTTCTCCCCATTCCTCATTTGGTCCCAAGTATGACTCAGGGTTAGGCTGGGTCCTCAGGCTCTGTGCTGTTGGAAGGAAGTGGGAGGATTCCAGGGGTGTTCTGGGACCTTTTCAAACTGAAGAGAGGAGGCTGGCTGCATGATGGGAGAAGAGGTATTTCTTTCTTTCCCTCTTTCTTTCTCTCTCTTTCTCTTTCTTTTCTTTCTTGCTTTTAGACTTGTAATAAATCTCCTTAACTAGTATCTTAACTGTATATAACATTTTGTGTCAGGACTGGTAATGGGTTTGCATTAGTGGGCTGAAACATTGTGTGTGCCAGCTGGGATCCCACGGAGGGGAGCTATGGATAAGCTAAGGGGGAACCTACTGAGTATGCAGATTATTTGCTAAAGCTGAATGTTACTCTGGAGCTATTTAGCTGTTTTAATCCCTCCTACTTTGGTCAATTTGGCCATTAATTTTCCCAGATGTTTCTAATCTCTCTGTGTCTTGGGTTTTCATGTGCTCATAGTGCAGAGAGAAATTTAGATGGGCAATTTGCACAAGCAGTAACTGTTACACCGTCACAGAGATGTTTAGCAATTACAGATGTTTGTTCAGTAAACAAATCCAGCTTGCTTTTCAGGTTAGCTTAGCAGAGAAGGGTATGTCCATGCAGAGCAAGCCAGCTGTGGGGCATTTCACTCTTTAGGGGCACGGACTTTTCGAGTTTTCCTTGTGAGTGGAGAAGCTGTGAGTGGTGACTTCTGGGTGCTATTGAACTGCTTTTTTATGATACAGGTAAAGATATTTGGCTAGTTTTGTAGTGCTGGGCATTTGTAGGTATGTACTCATGTATAGAGAAAAATAAAGACTCTAAATTATTTTGATTTTCTAAAAGTTTGTTAGTAATAAGTAGGCTTGTTTTTTTCTGTGAATTGTTCATATTTGTCTACCTAAAAGCAGAAGTCTGTCATTTTCCAAACACAAAATTCCCTAAACCACAGGATAAGTAAGGCTTACAGTGTGTCATATGTCTTCTATATCCCTGTCTCTCATCGAAAAAAATTTTTAAGGGGGGAATTGATGAGGTCTATAAAATATGTCCCTTTATGTCTTTTTCTATTGGCTTTAACTTATACTATCTTCAAAATTACAAAAAAAAAAAAAAAAAAAAAAAAAATAAAAAAAAAAAAAAAAAAAAAAAAAAAAAAACCAAAAATAGCATGGCGAAAAGGAAACACATTGTTTTAACATGTTTTAAGAATAGGGGAACTTCTTGAAAGGTTTTTTTTAATGGCATCTGTTGCTTGCCTAGAAAGGAGGACAGATGCAGATATATGAGGAGAGTGCAGTTAGGGGTTGGCTAGAATAAAAATATATTCATCGACAATGACTTGAGAGAATTTTCATAGGGAAAGATATCTTATGTTTGCTGATCTTATTGCTCGATGTCTTTGTTCTGAGTTCTGATCAGTAGAAATCTGAATGAGATATTTATAGGCAAAATTAAGATGGTGGCTCTTCCTTGGGGAAATGAGTGAAAGCATGAATGATTGTAAGATCTGAAAAATATGGAAAAGTCTCAGCAGCTAGGGCCTGGAGATGGGAGAGGAAAAGAAGCCCCTAGGGGGCCTGACAGGTTCTGCCTTGGCTCTGTGAAGTCTGAGCTACTTGTTACACTGATGAATGTTCCCTTAACCCTTTGCTTGTTTGTGTCTCAAAATGGAAATAGCTCCATTACTTCTCCCATTACAAAAGCTCCTTGCATTAATAATAATAATTCAAAGTTGAAGAATACAAAGAAATAAATAGAAATCACCCTCAGCTGGAAGCAGTGGCTCATGCTTGTAATCCCAGCACTTTAGGAGGCTGAGGTAAGTGGATCACTTGAGGTCAGGAGTTTGCGACTAGCCTGGGCAACATGGCAAAACCCCATCTCTATGAAAAATATAAAAATTAGCTGTGTGTGGTAGCACACACACCTGTAGTCCCAGTTACTTGGGAGGCTGAGGTGGGAGGATTGCCTGAGCCTGGGAGGTTGAGGCTGCAGTGAGCTGAGATCACATCACTGCACTCCAGCCTGGGCAACAGAGCGAGACCCTGTCTAAAA